ATCTGAGTGTAATAGAAATATTTTCATAAAGTAAAACTAACAGGATCAAAAATACAGTACTGGTTTTTTTAAAATTTACTATTAACACAATAATGGTCTCCAAGAATATTTTGATACTCGGATTAATGAGAGTGGGTAAAATTAGTGAAACTCATGTAATCTGAACCTTACCCAACCCAACCATTGAGTCAGGTCAAATTGAAAACCTTCGCTTACAACTATTCTCATAAATTCGGAAACTAAATATTTTCGATTTCTCGAGATCTCTTCGGTCTCGTCTAAAATCACAAAACGTTTCAGAAACTACGTCTCTATCTTTAGAGCCTCAGTCCGGGAACAGTAACTTCAGAAAGTTAAATGGTTCCTAAGTTCGAGAAGGTCTCGGAGAAACGAGCTTCAACTATTTGAGTGGTTTAATGCGAAGTTGTAAGTTCAGATCTGTATCCAAACTTTTTATCTGTTCCAAATGCAGTTGAAAATAATAATAATTCGTAAATATAATGATTCTAAATAATGATACATGGACTTAATACAAATTTTATTAATAATTCGTAAATATAATAATTCCAATAATAACATGGATTTAATACAAATTCTATATTTTATATTTTTGAATATGTACTGATACAAAGAATGTCTGCTTAATAAAAAAAAATTTATTGCATCTCAAGGTACAAATCTTCCTGCACCAAACAAGATATACTAAAGAAAAAAAAAAAAAAAAAAAAAGTTAAAAACAATCCTCACATACATCTCATTTCCTATTTACATTCCCTTCTAAAATATTTATTTTCCTAAATCATCAAATCGCTACTATACCTTGTGTTTGTAAAATAATTTATACTAAATTGGCCCAAGGATCCTCAAAAAATGATTCCTTATAGTATTGCTTTATATCGATCTGGGTTATATCAATATTGGAATCGATCTGAGTTATACCAACATTTGAATCGTTCAATCGTTGTTTCTAAATCATAAAAAATTATATAGCACATAAAATAAAATAGAAAGAATAAAATATATTAAAATACCTTCGGTGATCTGTAATAATTGTTTGATTTATACCCATAACGTGGTGGTGTATTATACGTATTATACGCATTATACCCATGGAATTGACGTTCTTTTCTTCGGTATGTTTTATATTCAACATAGTTAGCGTCCATAGTTTTACGGCAAAAAATATTCACTATAATAAATATTATAAATATTATAAATATAAATATATAAAATATAAAAATGATTTTATAAATAACGAAAAAAAAAAAAGTCGTGTTAGTAGGATTTACTAATTTTCCCACCCGTTCCTATTGGACGAATAGAAATCCTGCTTTCGATTGGACGAAATAGATCTTATATGACTTGGAATTTAGTAAAAGGTCTAATGGAATATGAATGACGATACTGTAAATCATTACCTTTAAAATATACCCCAAAAATTTGTATTTTTCGGTGGCTTGTTTATTTTACACTATCCCTCATTTAATCTGCCACAAGTATTAATAATGAATTAGAGTAAGAAATATGAAGTAATAGTTACGATTAGTAAATCGAATCAGTAGTATATTAGTAATGATGGCATGTATGAGTTAAATTAATTACAGTATTTAAGTAAGTTAATGGTTAGAAAAAGAAATAACTTTATTTCTTCTGCGAACCCGACACTTAGTCTAATTTTGTCGATCCCACCCGAATGGAAAGTTCTAGTTAACCATTTAATTCGAAATTTTCGTGGGATCAATAGGTAATCAGTAAAAACACTATTAGATGGCCTGTCGGGACGACAGCCATTCATGAATTAATGTGACCTGTTGGACGACAGTCACAAGGTTAGATAAAAAAAAAATTAGAAAGCGATTCTAGTGAAATGATGCATGAGATGCTCATAGCAGAGGGAATAAACCCGTACGTACGTACGTGTTTCTATTATGATTACAACAAAATGAGAGACCAATTATATTTGAGCCACATGACCTGAATGACCTGAATGCTTTTTTTTTTTTTTTGCTTTATTTATGTGAAGCATAGCATCGCATCGCATAATTCTGGTTTCCCCAGTCCGGTAATTCACCCACAAAAATTTTCCGGAACGTGATTTTAGCCAATTATATCGAAGGATCAGGTGTAACGTAAAATCAAAACATCGAATTAAGCGAAGGATTTTAAAGTAATAAGCTTCATCTTTAAGGTTAGGAATAAGGCCGAGGGAAAACATAGCTTGTACCAAAATTTCACAAGGAATTTTTTTTGTTAGAACGCAGAAGGCAGTTTCATAGGCAAAATTTCGAGTCATTGGCGATCTTTTAAAAGACGTAATTTTCACATTACACCTGATCCTTTTATCTAATTGGCCGGAAATTTTTTTGTGGGTGAGCTACAGGGGGTTAACTTTTTTGGGGGACGCTTAAAGCCAGGTCCATTACGAATTTAAATTAACGTTAAGGTTAGGGTCAGTTTAGGGTCTGTATGGGC